TGCCTCTCTGCGCACCAGCACTGCCATCATGCCTGACGTTCTGCAAAACCCTAAACCCTAAATCCTAAACCCTACACCCCAAACCCTAAATCCTAAACCCTAAACCCTAAACCCTACACCCCAAACCCTAAAACCTAAACCCTAAATCCTAAACCCTACACCCCAAACCCTAAACCCTGTGTTCGCTAGTCGCAAGGCGTCGCTGCTGCCGCACGGAAATCCGACTCGCCAAGTCCAAAGGGCAAGGACCAGCAGCTGATGCTGTTTAGGGTTTATAGGGGTTTCGGATTTAGGGTTTTAAGGGTTTGGGGTTTTAGGGTTTAGGGTTTAGGGTTTGGGATTTTGGGTTTTAGGGTTTAGGGTTTAGGGTTTAGAGGTTTAGGGTTTAAGGGTTTAGGAAATAGGGTGTAGTATGCAGGTCTGAATAAGTGATTTAACATCTGATATTATCCATGTCAACCCTCAATCTTTAACCACAAACCCTAAGAGTTATTTTTTTCGTTTACATCGCGACCCGTCACCCGAAAGCCTAGATAGAAATCCTAAAGGGTCCTTGCAGGGTTCTCACTTTATCGATAGGACCCTTACAAACCCTAAACCCTGAACCCTTATAGTTAAACCCTAGAGAAGCCCCGAAGGATGTGGCTCCTTCTGTCCAGTCGCCTTCTATGCCGACCTCCGGCTATGCGCCCAGATAGGGTTGGGGGTTTAGGGTTTAGGGCTTAGGGTATAGGTCAGACGGCCCGATGTGCTGTCCCGCGATGCGGCGCATCTACATCTAAATCAAGGTGTTTTGGAGCATTTGGTCCTCAGTTTTGGCTTGCTTTCGGGCGTTGTACAGCGGGCTTAGGGAGCATATAGGGTATTATTACAAGTGCTAAATAAAGGGTTCAGGGTCAGGCTTCGCTCTACAGGAGCGCTTAGTATAAGTGGTGCAGGGATAAAGTTTACCAAGAGGCCAGGGTCTAGTGTTGATTTTGGAAGTGCTTTTTGATTGCAAACGTTTAGAGTAAAAAAGCCCTGACGGGTTCCCGGTCCCTCATCCATTGCATCTGAAATTCGAGGATCTCCAAGACCCTAAACCCTAAACCCTAAACCCTAAAACCCTCAAACCCTAAACCCTAGAACCCTAAAACCCTAAACCCTAAAACCCTAAAACCCTAAACCCTGAACCCTAAACCCTGAACCCTAAACCCTAAACCCTAAACCCTAGACGTGTGGGGCCAGGTAAAGGTTTCGAGAAGCTCAGCCCTCAAACCCCCTCAATGCTGAAGCCATGATGAACCGTTTGATAACGTAGAGGGTTTAGGGTTTAGGGTTTTGGTTTTAGGGTTCAGGGTTTAGGGTTTAGGGGTTAGGGTTTAGGGTCTAGGGTTGAGGTTTGAATAAACTGACAACAGTAGCAGTAATAGCAACAGCAATACCAATAAGCCATTATCACAGAACTAATAACAACCATGCCCATAATATAGACAATATTAATAGTATTAATCATAACGATAATTTAATGCTCATAACAATAAAAAAACAGTAATAGTAATAGTACTGTTTTTGTAGCAGCTAATCGGATACCTTGTTACTCCCCTGAGCTTGCTTCAATTATGAAGGCCGTATAGAGCCCCGTGAGACCCAATATGCACCGTGTTTTACACCCTTCATGAAAATCAACAACCCTTTCACTATGAACGCATCTCGGACAAAGTTTAGGGCTTGAATTTGCGGCTTTGCCAGCGTAGTGCTGCCCAGAAGCTGGAAATTGTCACGAGCCGTTTGGACAGCGCATCTACCTCCGAAGGGAAGGTACCGACCAACTACGACATCACCAGTTAAAGCAGCACTTGACTGAAGCTCCGCGAAATGTGTCGCGACGCACAACCGATAAGTACTGACCACTGTGGCTCCATCACGGGCTTTCTGGGCTTTAATGATCACAAAGCTGCAGGGTTTGAATTGAAGGAGCACATCTGCCAACTGGCGAAAGCAGGGTTTGAAGTCTCGGATTGTTACAGTATCTGGCTCAGGCTTCCTAGCCTGAGAACTGAAGAGTTCAAGATGTATACGGTAAAGTATTTTACGTTGACCAAGCCATTCAGGGCTTCAGGTTGTGTGGCTTGGACTCTATGACTCTATGCCTCCAGGTGATGCTGCAGCTCCGGCAGCATCCAAGTCAATTTTGCGGAAAAGCCAGGCGCATGGGTGTGGTTGGGGCGCGTGGGCATGGGGCTCGGGCGTAGATATGCAGGGATAACCCAAACCACACCCCACAACTCCCCTCGTCAAGTGTGTGTGTGTGTGTGTGTGTGTGTGTGTGTGTTTGTGCCCACCCTAAACCCTAAACCCTAAACCCTAAACAGTAAAAGGGATGTTTAGGGCTTCAGGCCCCAATGCCCATCTCCTAAGCTGGCAGGTTCTGGGAAAAGGAAACGATTCTATGAACGTTTCATGGCGCACACCGCATTGCATCATTGCAATGTGCAAGCACCCAAAAGGTCGTCTCGCAAAGCGACGGCATTTTATAATTGTAGTATAATGGGCCCCAAAACCCTATTCATTACTTAAGGCCCCTAAACCCTGAACCCTTATAGTAGCGCTTATAGAACCCATTAAAGGAACCCTATAAGGAACCCTTTAATGGAACCTCCAAAAAACCCAATTCTAATGATTAAGGCCCGAACTATACTAATTCAGACCCAGAGTCGGGCATAACGCATCGCACCCACAACTTCACTACGATTTAGGGTTTAGGGTTTAAGGCGGCGCCCTGGGCCTCACAGCCTCTCATCGTCTTAGACCGCTGAAAGGAAAGGAGAGCAGCAGCAGCAGATTTCTTATGTACACATTATCAAGCGAACCAAGATAGTCATGGAACCCTACACTCTAAACCCTATGATGGACTTACACAATCATCGCTCGCCAGGCTTCCAGCATTCCCAGTGCCTCGGAGTCCGCAGCACCCATGGTTGGCCAGTGTCTCGGGTTAAGGGTTCCCATAAAGGGTTCCTTCTCGGTTCAGGCATGTTTAGGTTAGGGTTTAGGGCTTAGGGCTTAGGGCTTGTTTGGATTGGTGGATTTATCCAGGGTTGTTTGGATCCCAGTAACCTATATGGTAGGTGTTTGGGGGTTGGAACTAAGTAGCCCTAAACCCGTAAACGGTAGAAGAAAACCTACACCATCAAGCCCGAAAGAACTCAATGAACCCTGAAGTGAAAGCTATCAGCCTTTAAGTGCTTGAGCCACCCAACAGAGCCTACTTAACCACTGCCAGTACAGCCACAACTACGAATGCGATTACGACTACCCTCGCACATGAAGTTGGTTCTTCTACATTTGCTGATGCTGCTCCTGCAATACGAAAACTAGCACTGCCACTGCCGGTACCACCTCGGCGACAATCACCACCACCACGACTACCATTACCACCTACTGCCACTGCCATTACAGCTGGTACTATAATACTACTACTCCGACTACTACTACTACTCCTCCTCCTCCTCCTACTACTACTACTACTGCTGCACAACTGCTATCAGCATTGCTTCTCAGTTGCTCCGGCGCCCGCGTCGGCACCTCCGCAGCCGAAGTCCATCTTACGGCGACCTCAGGCGACGGAGGCACGGGGTTTAAGATTCAGCTGTTCAGGGTTCAGGGTCTATAGGCCCTGTTCATGTATTCTGCGACTTAAAGTGTGGTGTAGGGCCTAGTGTAGGGCTTACGATTTGGGCGTACAGGCTTTCGCCAAGAGTCGCCCCAACCGTCCTGCCTCGAGTTGCGTGCTGCATGGACATTTGCGTGCTGTCTCGCATGAGCCGCTGGCGCTCGCGCGCGCAGGGTGCCGACGCAAGGCGAGCGAGACAGCATGCAAAAATTGATGCAGCACCTACCCTGAGGCAGCATGGTCAGGGAGGCCCTTGATTTCTTGTCGGTCGATGTGTTCAAACCACTTCCCAGCGTTGAAGATTTCGGCCCTACACCCTAAACCCTAAAACCTAAACAATATAGCCTAGACCTTTCCAGACATGTCAAGGTCAGAACTCAGAGGTCTAGCTGCGCAGGTATGTTTTCAGGGGTTGGGGTTTGGGGGTCCCGGTTTGTGTCAAGCTGACACCCAGCTTTGCGGAGTGAAAGCATAATGCACTCTAAACCCTAAAACCCCAAACCCCTAAAAGACACAACAACCCCGAACCCTCAACCCGACCTTAAGCCTCAAGCCCTAAACGCGAATCCGGAAATAGAGTCCAAAGCTTCAAATCAGAACCCCCAAGGCGGATTAGCCCGGCGCATCGGGTTAGGGATTAGGGTTTCAGGATTAGGATTTGGTTTTTACCCTAAACCTTAAACCGTGTGAATCGCAGTCGCATCTAAACGGTTCAGGGTTTAGGGTTTCGGCAACGTCGAACAGGCTTCATTCGAAAGCAACAGCCGTGAACCCCCAAGCTTCTAGATGTTTGGGGTTCAGGGTTAGGGTTTACGATGCAAATTTCTGCATACAGGGATTAGTACGGCTGGTTTTGTTGGGTGTTTTCGCGCTACTGGTCCCAGCGACTCCAATAGCACATAAGCACGGAACTTTCCTGCACTCACCGCAACTTCCCTGTCAGCCCTAAACCCTGAACCCTGAACCCTAAACCCTAAACCCTGAACCCTAAAACCCCAAACCCACTAGGTTGCGGCTGCCGTGCAGAAGTCCCAGGAGGCGCGTTGCCGGTTCCTGCTTACAGAGGCCTTGAACTTCGTACTCACGCCTGTATTTTTTGCAGCGAGGCAAGATGGTGATACAGATTCATCGGGCGAACATACGAAGTTTTCGGCCTCTATAAGTAGGCAAGATGGAATGAGCTTCAGGCCAACGGAAACCAGAGCGGTTCCACATGTCGGACCGCAAGCAGAGCAACATACGCAAAGGGCTTTGTAAAGTGTTCACTTAATAAAGGCTTTCGCTGGTTGTGGATTGAGAAATTGGATGGGAATTAGAGGCTAAATCCTGAGCCCCCAGCCCGGACCTAAGCACGACGCACCACAGACCTAAACCTTGTCATAAGAAGCGTGCAGTCGCTGCAAGATAAAACCTGGAATGTGGCTGGTGCATGACGGGAGCAAATCACTCTCAGATTTGTGGTAATGGCTTTGGGAGCAGGGTGTGCTTCCGACCGTGCGGGGAGGGGAAATAATTTGCAAAAAGAGCAGGCGCGTGCATCCAGCTGTCTTCCTGCAACAGTTCGTTGGTTTGAAGGAAGAGTAGCCCTAAACGGGTCAGGCAGAACGGTTTTGGAGTGTATAACCCGCATTGCTGAGATTGCGGGTTGGGGTTTTTGCTTTTTGAGGCTTGGGATGGGAGCGACCGGGAGTTGTAGCGTTAGAGAATAGTGCTGTAGAATTCCCATCAGCATGCAAGCACTTGCAATCCTACCCGCATCCCCAGACCACGTAAACGTCAAGCCCGAAGAGTCAGACTACAAAGCCTATACATACAGCGTTCCCACCCTTCAAGATAACGTGCAGTTGCAATCGAGCGAGAGAGAGCTTGACAAGCGCATGGACTCACAACGATGTCAATGCTGGAGTTGTTGCTTGCTTCCTCGTATGGTGTGCGGGTTCATGACTCAGATTTGGGTAGCATAGTCTTGTGGTTGCATGGGTTTAGGAGGTTGCTGTTTCGACAGTTGCATGAGCTTCTTTGTAGCATGTTGCATAGTAACACTAGCCTGTTGGTCTGTTTGTCTGTCTATCCCGAGTCCGTCTCCCTCTGGGTTCTGTATTCCTGCACGACTCATATTTTCAGATTGTGCGTTTCTGTTGTGGGGTTGGACATTCTGGGGGTTGGACACGGCTCAACATTAGTGCAGGCCACAGAACAGGCTCTGTAAATGCATGCTTTCGCCGGTCATGATTGTTTCGCTGATCGCCATGGATCCAGAGCTGTGTGTGAGAGCTGCTGATCGCTTGATTATATAAACAGGTTTCAGGTTTGGGTTGCTGACCCACTCGTGTCGTCACAGCGTGCTGAGCGCGCGAGCGATTTGTAGGATTCCCCCCCTGGGTTCACAACATGCGACCAAAAATTAAGTTGTATTCTGAAGGATCAGCTGAGCCCTCAAGAGTCCGTGTAAGGACGCACTCGCACAACACATAGGGAGAAAGCTGGTGGCAAAGGTCCTGTACTCTTGAGGGCCCTTGGGTCCTTATAAGGTTGCCGAGTGACACAAGGGGAACGGAAAAGACACCGGAGCGGCCTGGCAATCTTCGCTTCTCATGGCTTTGTCCGTGCTGTGACCACTCAGTAGATTGCACTCAGACATCCAGTGATCTCGATGTGATCTCAATGGGAGAACATTGCGCCGGCCGCCGAACCAACTTTGCGGTCTTTGCTAGTGTATGCTGTGCAGCCTTAGTCTCAAACCTGCCTGCGGTCTCGCCGCATGCGTGGCGCCTTGATCCGACTCGCGGACGATGCGGGCAGACATCGCGCCACAGCAACCCTGTACATTCGTGAGTTTAGCCCCCCCATAGATGTAGATGTATTGTGCCGTAGTTACACCCCCCTTGTTGCAAGGACATCGCCCCAAAACTGGACTAACCAGACCCGGTGTTTGTGCTGATCGCAGCATGCACCCCAGCAGCTACGGATCCCATCAACAGCTGTATTATCGAGTGCAGCAGCATCTTTGCAAAGAAAACCTTTGCTCAAGGCTCAAAGCTTAAGTTGTTGAGCTGCAGGCACCTGTTCTTGCAACACGGTTGCTGGGTTGGTATTTGCTTGGGACTTGATTTGTGTGACGATGTGTTTCTTAGCATTACATATTAGTATTGAAGGACTCAGCGTCAAGGGTTGCCATGAAGGAGGAGGTCTCTAGACCCGGTTCACAACCAGTCGGAGCATCTGATTTCGGTCACACAGCAACACGGAGGGCTTTGTTTAGGGCAAGCCCCTATAAATCCCAAACCCTACCCAATCCCTACACCTCTGCAGTCCTCGGACAGTGCGAAGGCCGTCAGGCAGCCAGTTCTCGATACGGATCCGCGTCTCGTGGTGAGCGCCCCATCGCTTTTCTCACAGAGCATTTGGTGCACCCACCTTCTGGCCCAAAATCCAAGAGGATTCGTTCCTTTTTGAGCTGCCTTGGTTACCTCGTCTCACGAGCCCAAACCCCTAAACTCGAAGCCCTGAACCCTAAACCCAAACCCCTGAACCCCAAACCCTAACCACTAAATTCGGAGCACTAAACCAAAGCCCCCAAACCGCAACCTCTGAACCCCAAAACCCTAGACCCAAGCCCTCAACCATAGCCCCTAAACCATAGCCCACAAGCCCTAAAGCCACCTAAAGATGCGAAGGCTTAGGCTTAGGCATGCTTAGGCTCAGGGGCCGGGAAGTTGTTGGGTTTAGGGTTTACGGTTTAAGCGCTTTTGGGCAGCGCAGTGCCAAAGGGTCCTAAGGGTTTTGGGTTTAGGGTGCCTTTGAGGGTTTGGGGTCCGTTTGAGGGGGTGCTAAGTACCAATATCGTAGAAACTAGGCTTTCTATAGTTGGAATTATCATGGCCTTACATAGGTGCTTATTATGTGAGGGGGTACTTATCCTAACCGTAATAGTAAACCCTAAACCCTAAACCCTAAACCCTAAACCCTAAACCCTAAACCCTAAACCCACTTTATCCTTTTCTGGTACTTAGGACCCATAGGGCTTGAAGGATCATACTCCACAGGTGTTTGCACGTTTCGGATATGTTGATCTCTGTGGCTTTAGGGTGTTACGGTTTAGGGTTTAGGGTTTAGGGTTTAGGGTTTAGGGTTTAGGGTTTAGGGTTTAGGGTTTAGGGTTTAGGGTTTAGGGTTATGGTGTTGCGAATGACCCTCCAAAGTACAGCCTGCCTTCTGAGGGTGCAGTGACAGCGCCTGCAGACAAGTCAAAGGCCAACGGGGACCAGTCTTTGAGGAATCTGTGCTTGTATGGGGTTAAGGGCTTTGGGTTTAGGGTTTAGGGTTTAGGGTTTAGGGTTTAGGGTTTAGGGTTAAGGGCTTAGGGTCTCTCAAGCCTAAACCCTAAACCCTAAAGCTAGATCCTTTAAGCTGTTGGTGAGTGGATGTTTGGGCTTCCTGTCTGGGAAACTGGTAGGTAGTAAACCCTAAACCTTGGATACTGCCCGCACTCAGTAACAGTTGAATATTACTTATAGTTAATAAAGCCATATAAGGCCCTTAATAATGTCCCTTTGATTTCTCAGGGCTTGGGCGGCTCAGGTTCCTAGAAGGCGCGGGGGTTTAGGGTTTAGGGCGCTAGATGGGTCACTGGACGCTTAGGGCTAAGCCCAACTCTGAAGGTACAGACATCGCATGGTCTGGTTATTTTGGTATCTTGAATCGCCAATTTTCTTAACCCGAAACGCTAACCGTTGTGTAATCCCTAAACCCTAAACCGTGAACGCTAAAGTCCTTAACAGTTAGTGCTTGGAGTTCAGGACATATGTTGAATCGAGGGTCTGGGTAAGCCAAAGGAGGAGCTGCATCGGACAGTGAAGGGAAACGCCATGTTCTGTTCGGGTTTAGGTTTTAGGGTTTCGGTGTTTCATCGTCACGCACCCCGGCAGTTGCAGGAGATAGATGACGACGATGATTCCGAGTCGACAATGTCTTTCGAGTCGGACATCGACACTCAACTGCATTGAGTTCGACTGGCGGTGGATGCTCAGATTACACACTCAAAGCCCACACTCCGAATCGGACAAACCTCATTCTATCTGCTGTGGGTAGGGAACAATCGACAAGGGGTCCAGTTCAGTTTAACATCCTGCGGTTTGGAATTATAGAAGCCTTCATGTTGTGATAGATAGCTGTGAACATTACAAAACAGACCTGTGAAGAAATACGAACCGTCATATAATGTTCGTCAAATCTAACCCAACCCCTACATCCGACACCCCCAAACCCGCATGAACCCTAAGAGGTCACACGTATGTAAAAGGCCACGTGGGTTTTCGCAAGCAGCATATTATTGCAATGTGCTTTTAACCCGCGCCTGCCAGCAAATGTGAGCAATTTGCATTGATGCTTCTTCAAGTGACTATGTAGGATCATACTGCCTTGAAACTTAGGGCGTTGCTGTAAATACCGGT